GAAAAAAGATAAACTGATATATAACATAAGCCCCCAATCCTACAAAGAGATCCATGTAAGATGATTATTCTACTTGTGTGGATTCTCTAAAGGATGGGAGCCTAAAAAAGATACTCTTCGTCTATTTAACCAGATCACAAAGTACAACATACTTTATCACAAAGAAAACAAATTATCACATACTTTAAGGTATGCTGTATAATATGTAAAGAGAGGAAATGAGAAAAAATAATGTCATCCTAGGCAAGAAGAGCTCAGCTCTAACGTAAGAAACAAAATAATATCTTATTTTCAAGAAAAGCATGTTTGAAAAAAAATAACCCAAAAGTTTTGAGTTGCTAAATGCCTATCTGCCAACATCTGACATATATAAATATAGCTATATGAAGAGAAAAATGAGGATACACCTTTTAGCTCCAGGAAATATGCTGGATTAGAAGATTTTTTTGATGGAAGAATGGAAAAATGATAAATATTTACTAAAAATAAATAAATAAAGGATTAACCCTATTAAGGTTCAATTTCAGGAAAGGACATAACATGCTGAACATACATGCTCAACTTTGACATCAATGGTACTTAAGCATGTGCTTAAAATTAAGCACATTCTTAAATGTTTTGCTGAATTAGATCCTAAATAGGAAAGGTTAGCATGTAGGAGGAATATGGAAATGACAAAAAAACCACATGGCTTTCTGTTGCTAAAGAATAGAGGTAGGAAACCTATCACTGTAAGAGAGAAAATGAAAAAAGTTATATTGAAAAAGCTGAAGAAAATACGAAGTGCACAGCTTGGAAAACTGCAAAAGAGCAGATAACAGATTTTTCAACACAAAAACAATATTTTTTAATATGAAAACATGTACAAATGTTCATTTTCCCCTTATGTGCATAAAAATACACAAATAAGAAATATAAAACAAGAATGTTTAGAGAGAAAGGGAATGTGCTAACTTCCCAAATTTTTTTAACCTTCTTTAAAATTGCCATTGTTTACATTTTATCAAACTTTGTTTTCAGGAATTTGTTTAAACTCCATATAATGTGCTAGACTCTAATCTAAGATTCCAAGAAAACAGATTTTTGTAAAGATAAACAACAATTAATATCACTTATAACAACATCCATAATATAGTAATCATTCCTTAATATATTTGGTAACATGAATAACTCAAATTACTACGAACACATAGATGTGTGATACCTTGTTTTGGTAAAGGAAGATTTCCCAACATTAATGACATGTAGAAATAAAGTATGGGAAATCCTTCCCACAGAAAAAATTACAGACGGCCTTACATCAGCATCAAATAGTTTTTAATGCATGCTTACTATTTGTGGAATCTGAACAAAATAAATATACAGATAATGATAAGAGGTTGACCAAACACAAATTGGTCTTTTAAAGGGAACAGGTGCAGGTTATTATTAAGATCGGTTAGTACTTGTATAGACAATTTGTGTATGTTAATAATGACAACATTAATTTTTTTTTAAATATATCATTTATTTAAAATCTATTGTGTGGCAACATGAACTCTAATATACATTCACAAGCCTGATAAATGTTTTCAGCAAGTGGAGCTGAGATGTTTTATCTCTTGACTCCTTGGTGGTCAGGGCTAGAAAAACTTACCAGACACCTGACAATCAGAAAACTAAACCTACTAGTCAAGAGGTAGATATGAAAGATAAAAGTGTTGGGACTCCACCCCTGAAGTTTAGGGACAATGTCCTGGTAAGAATGACAGCTCCTCTGCCATCAGCTGCTAGGAAAGACGAGGGTACTGAGATTTCTACTAGAATGCTGTTCCTGGACTATGTTTGGAGACTCTTTATCTTTTATACTAGTAGCTAGTTAGTAGGCATCTTACAAATTTGAAGGTCCGCCCCCACATAACTGCTAAAAAGGATAAAAAACATTCTATCTCCTCTCTCACCCGCTAGAACATTCTGGCTGCTACCAGGGTATTTAGGTCTCCACTACTCTATCCCTCCCCAAGTCAACTGGTAGCTGTGAAAGGTTGAGGGAAGAGATCCCCATTCCCAGCTTCCATTTTCAGGTCCTCTTCCCCTGTAAATATCTTCAGTGTCTGCTTCTGCTGCTGCTCACAATGTTCCAAGACAGCAGCAGCAGCAAACTGACATTTCTGGCAGTTTCACCATTGCCTACAGGTTTCTGAATAGGAATGTGAAACTGATTAGACTTTCACTAATCCTACTGCTGTTTGACAAATCTACAAACAGAAGCAGAGGCACTAAAACTGTCTGCAGACTCAGGAAAGTGACACTACAGTTCACATTTGGTTCATGTTGGAAAGGTTATCTTTGTAACAATAAGGGCTATAAACTTAATTTATTTTTAAATGAAAATTTTGATTCTGTAGACATTAGTGGTGTAGATGCCCTCACTTGCTCAGGTAAGCCTGCCATTTGCCCAGGGCAAGTTGATTTTCCAAACTCTGTATATGACTATCCTTTGTGCATCTAACACAGAACTGCCCAAAGTGGTGTGGAGTGTGTATCTTTGTGCATCCTTCTAGTAACAACTGTGTCTGCCACCTTAAGGAGCACCCAATGGTACAGCACATCAGTGCCCAACTGCAACATGTGACTATGGTGGCACTGTAAGGTAGTGCCCACTACTAGTAACTAGGAGATAATTTATCCTTTCTGGTAGATTGTACCATCTGTTTTTCTTTCTTTTACCAGTATTTCTACTTTTACACCTCTACCCCAATATATATATATATTGGGGTAGAGGTGTAAAAGTAGAAATACTGGTAAACGCGACCCGATATAACGCGAATTCGGATATAACGCAGTAAAGCAGTGCTCCGGAGGGGGGGCGGAGCTGCGCACTCCGGCGGATCAAAGCAAGTTCGATATAATGCGGTTTCACCTATAACGCGGTAAGATTTTTTGGCTCCCAAGGACAGCGTTATATCGGAGTAGAGGTGTACTTTCTTCTGGTTCTCTTGATTTCTTCCTTTTTCTCTGGCTCCCTTTCTTCAACTCACTTTCACTTCCCCATTACTGCTCCTGTCACATACCTATTCCCTGCTTCTCTGTTCTTTGCAGGGGGAGAACTCGTCTTGCTTTCACATACACTTTCTTTAGACCTTCCCCCCCTTCTTTGCCATCATTCACAAATAATACAGAACCTTCTTGTACAAGGGCAGCCAACTCCTGATCGCCCCCTTGTGGCCAGCAAAGGCTCTGCCATGGCCTGCTTCTGGTTTCCCTCTTCATGGCCCCTTAAGACTTCCACACAGTCTTTCTCACAGCTAACACCCCCTTCCTATCTGGGGTTGGTTAAATAATAGAGACAGTTCAAAACAGTCCTCAAGGTCCTCAAAATAAAATCCATTACCACAACCCAAAAGTTCACACTTAGCTCAGGCTCTTCTACCACACATGGAGCTCTTCTCCTTCCCCAGTCTGCTCTTCACAAAGCTGCCACTCCTGGCCCACTCTAGTGGAAGCTCAGCCTTCTGGATTTGACTTTCTTATCCTGTCAGCATTTCCCCAGTTCCTACGGAGAAGACAGCACATATACTGCTCTCCTTCAGAGAGCTTCTCGTGATTGGCTGGGAAAGAGGGGACCCTGCCCCATCCTACACAACAGAGCTCCTGCTCCTGGGCCCTTAAAGGGACAGTGTCCTGGGTTTCTCATCCCCATCCAACTACTAATTCCCCAGAACCACTTCCTCTCTTCCAGCTTCTGCCATTTCCTGAGACTTTGTTTATTCCAGTGTTTCTGGAATAGGATTTTCTGGCCTTCCTCTAAACTTAAAGGGCCAGTATACTCCATTACACTTCTGATTCCCATACTCTGTCACTTTCTATCCCTTTGCTGATTGAATGGGACCTCTTTCAAAACATTCTGCTGGCTGTCTGATAGCAGAAGGGAAATAAAGAATATCAGCATAGATGTGCAATGTTACAATATCACCACAGTTGCACAGGGAGAACGCCCACAGTGAGTTTCTGCTCATTTAAACATAAAAGCAGGAGTCTTGGTAGTGACTGTACCCACAATTGCAGGGAGAGCACTTCCTCCGCAATCCAGGTAAAGGTATTTATAATCACTCTATGTGAACACAGTGGCATATGACATTGTAAGTATTATTATTATTTAAGCATTAAGAGTGTGATGGACACAATAAAAGATACAATTCCTGCTCCAAGGAGTTTACAGTTTAATCAGCATATCTGATGGAAGTCAATCAGAATTCCAGATTAGTTTAGTTTACTTAAACCAACTTTCACAAAGATACATACTGCAAGTGCACATTTATTAACATTCATGTATGCAAACCAACAGAAAATAATTACATTAGTAAATGTTGATACCGTAGCTACACAAATACTAGTGTAATCAGTTTTTACAGAATTTTCTCTAAATTTCAGAAAGATTAAGAGAGATAGAGAGTGTGTGTCTAGAAGGAGAAATAGATGTAATATTTGTGAAAGGAGAAACAAATTCACATTTCCATATCTAGAAGCAATACTACTGTATCCCACATTTAGATGATAAATTATCCAGAGAATAATGAGACCCCTGGTAGATGTGCTGTATATGTTTTCTAACACTAAGCTAAATGAGGATTTCTTGGATACATAACTCAAATTTCCCAATTCACATTTTTACCCATAGTCCTTTTTTAATATTGACATATCAGTAACTACTAGAAAATTCAACAATTTCAGTGTACTTAGAGTAAAAATTTCTGATCTTGTGACTCAATATCCACAAAATCTTAGTGCCATTAAGAAGGACATGTTTTGACAAAAGTAATATATAATTTGCCTAAAGTACTGCCAAGAAAACATAATTAGAAAGGTGTGTATAAATTAAATTAACCACAAAGTCACAACTTTTTTTAGCACAATGTTAAAACTACTCTAAGTAAAATATTTTAACATTTTAGTACTCTTATTTCATACCCTTTGGCATATAAAAGAAAACAAATCTGGGGGGGAAAAACAGGACTTACATTATCTTGGTAAGCAGGCTCCGGAATGCACCCTGAGGCGTCGCACTAGGGCCCTGATCATGCAACTGACTTCTCACAGGTAGAACCCATCCCCAGTGTGGAGCCTCATTGACTTCAATAGAGTCCCACCCACACAGAGTCAACTGCAGGATCTGGGCTTATGTGGAAATGACAATAATGAAAGCTCCTTCACACACCTGCAAAAATAGGTAGGGAGATAAAAAAAATTAATTATTAATGTGCTCTTGTGTCTTCTCACAGCCTGTTTAAGTGTAGTATTTATGATTTTTTTCATTTGCATGTCAGTTTTAGTATTTGTTTTTTATTTAATTCTTTTTTTTTTAAACATTGGTTTGAAAAAAATCTTAAGGACATGTACATTAACTGATACACTGGTCTGTCTCGTCTTACGCGGAGGTTCCGTTCCGCGGTTAGCACGTAAAGCGAAAACTGCGTATAGTCAAAATTCCATTGAGTTCAATGGCGGGCGGAATCGCCCGCACTACAGGTATAGTATTGAAATTGTTATTTTTCTCTTTTTTTTTTTTGTTTTTTTTGTTTTTGCCGACCGCATAAAATTGAAATCGCGCATGTTGAATGCGCATAAGATGCGACAGACCTGTAATATTCATTAACGTCCAGGGAGCTTTTACTGTTATATGGTACAAATATATGTTTAGACATATTTTAACACATTTTTTAATCATTGACGACTCTAGTTTCTTTGGTTTATTGTGCAAATACCTATTTAGGTTCTGAGCCTGGAAGCTGAACTATGCAGGCAGATCCCTGAGCCAGCCCGGAGTCCCAAAGAAGTCAATGGGCTGCATGCTGGCGCAGGGGTCTGACTGTGTCAAGCAGCTTCTAAGATCAGGGCCTTAGAAAATATGTAATAAAAAATTGTAATGAAAATCAGTTTAGCACTAGCCACTTTTTAAAGTTAAATTTGTTGGCCTTTTTAAACAAAAATTCTTATGAAAACGAAGTATTGTTGATTATTTGCTAAAATTAAGCTCTTAAATCAAAGATGTTTAAGATACAAGAAGTGCAAAAAGTCATTTTAAACAAATAAACATATCTCGTTCCCTGTTCACACAGAACTTACATTCAGGTTTTTTTTTAAAGAACACTTCTAGGTTGAGTCCATTCAGGGAAACGTCAACAGTGATCATGTTCATATATATATAAACTACAAACTCTTTAAAAACAGGTTTGTAATGGACAAGGGACACTGTCAATAGCCATCATGAGTCTAGCCTTCAAATTTGACACACTCCTAGAAACTTGCAGAGGGAAAGGTGTCTCCTCTTTTTAAACATGCACACAGATACAGAAGTAACTAATAACTAGAGAACTAGTTCTCAAAAAAAAAAGCTACAAGACTTAAGAAACCAGCTCATAAACTAGAAGCAAATATAAATTCATTCATAATATAAACACAATTCTGTTGGAATCACAGATACCATACTATCTATCTGTTCCTCTGCTGGCTCTATTCTTGTGAGCAGACAAAAAAATTAAACTGACAAGAATCCTGTGTTCTACAGAGATCAGAGTCCAAAGTTATCAACGTTTTCTATACCCTGCCATCTCTCCTGTGAATGAGCAATGAAGCAGATAAAATGTGTGCCCACTTTCACAATCCCAACAAATCCAGTATCCTGGGTTTAAGGCAGTTTGGCTCCTCTGTGGGACTTGAAGACTTGAAACTCTAGTTTTGGCAGGTGGATAGGTTTTTCAGTTGGTGCAGGGAGGCAAATAAATAAAATTAAAATCTGCATTTCAGGGAGCATGTGCCAAATTTGAGACCAATCACTGTGATAGTGAGGAGTATTTTTTAATTCAGTAACATGTTATATGCGGAGCCCTGAGTATTCTGTGATTCCATGGCTGAGGAATTCACCCCTTTCCGCAGAATTGTGCTACAGAATCTAAACTTTCATTTAAAAAAACTATGGGTGAAATCTTGGCCTTATTTCTAATTGTTATGGTTGTAGAGACAGCTTCCAAAACATCAAATGAATGTAAACTGATGCAATGTTTCCTGCCTGAATCTGCAAAGAACCTGAAACAACAGCTCTGAGGCCTGGTCTACACTACGAGTTTAGGTCGACTTTAGCAGCGTTAAATCGACTTAAGCCTGGACACGTTTACACTACGAAGCCCTTTCTGTCGACTTAAAGGGCCCTTTAAACCGGTTTCCTAACACCACCTCGACAAGGGGATTAGCGATAAAATCGACCTTAGGGGGTCGGAATTGGGCTAGTGTGGACGGAATTCGACATTACTGGCCTCCGGGAGCTATCCCACAGTGCTTCATTGTGACCGCTCTGGACAGCACTCTCATCTCAGATGCACTGGCCAGGTAGACAGGAAAAGCCCCGCGAACGTTTGAATTTCATTTCCTGTTTGCTCAGCGTGGAGAGCACAGGTGACCATGCAGAGCCCATCAGCACAGGTAACCGTGATGGAGTCCCAGTCCCAGTCCCAGGATCGCAGAAGAGCTCCAGCCTGGACCGAACGGGAGGTACAGGATCTGATCGCCATCTGGGGAGATGAAGCAGTGCTCGCCGAACTCCGAAACAGTAAAAGAAACGGCAAAACATTAGAAAAGATCTCCAAGGCCATGAAGGACAGAGGCCATAACAGGGACGCGCGGCAGTGCCGCGTGAAAATTAAGGAGCTAAGGCAAGCCTACCACAAAGTCAGAGACGCAAACGGAAGGTCCGGGGCAGAGCCGCAAACATGCCGCTACTACGCGGAGCTGCATGCCATTCTAGGGGGTGCAGCCACCACTAGCCCAAGCGTGTTCTATGAGTCCCTCTCTGCAAACGGGGAAGCGGGTTCGGCGGACGAGGAAGATGAGGATGGAGAGAACATAGATAGCTCACAGCAGCAAGGAAGCGGAGAAACCAGTTACCCCAACAGCCAGGATATGTTTGTCACCCTGGACCTGGAAACAGTAACCCCCGAACTGACCCAAGACCCTGAGGGCACACAGGGGACCTCTGGTGAGTGTACCTTTGTAAATATTACACATGGCTTAAAAACAAGCGTGTTTAATGATTAATGATTAATTTGCCCTGGCAATCGCGGCCAGTACAGCTACTGGAAAAGTCTGTTAACGTGTATGGGGATGGAGCGGAAATCCTCCAGGGACATCTCTAGAAAGCTCTCCTTCATGTAATCCCAAAGCCTTTGCAAAAGGTTTCTGGGGAGGGCTGCCTTATCCCGTCCGCCATGGTAGGACACTTTACCACGCCAGGCCAGTAGCACGTAGTCTGGAATCATTGCATAACAAAGCATGGCAGCGTATGGTCCCGGTGTTTGCTGGCATGCAGACAACATCCATTCCTTATCACTCTTTGTTATCCTCAGGAGAGTGATATCATTCACGGTCACCTGGTTAAAATGGGGCAATTTTATTAAGGGGACATTCAGAGGTGCCCCTTCCTGGTCTGCTGAACAGAAATATTCCCCGCTGTTAACCACGCGGTGGGGGGGAGGGTTGAAGTGACCATCCCAGAGAATTGGGTGTGAGGGGGAGGGGAGTTAGTTGGGTTTGTGCTGCATGTTAAACCTGAAATCGCAGCCCCTCCTTTTACATTGCAAACCCATTTTAAATGGCACGGGTGCTTGGTATGGGAAATGAGGGCAGAACTGTTTGAAACCATCCCCACATGTTAAGAAGGTTAAAAAAGCCCAAAGACTATATGTCTTACCATGGCTGCCTGCAAGCTGAAATCTGTGTCCTGGCACTGCGTGAGTGATCTCTCACACCAAACCAGGAGACTCTCAATATAAGAGGAAAAATGCGACCTTGTAACGAAAGCACATGTGCTGTGTGATGTTGTGAACAGCAAAATCTAACGTGAAAGAGTCTACCCATTGTTCTCTAAAATGTATCTTTTTTAACAACCTCTCCCTTCTCCACCAGCTGCAAATCTTACTCCTTCGCAGAGGCTAGTGAATATTCGAAGAAGGAAGCGAAGGACGCGTGACGAAATGTTTACTGAACTTCAGACTGCCTCCCACGCTGACAGAGCACAGCTGAATGCGTGGAGGCAGTCAATGACTGATTTTAAAAAAGCCCAATATGAGCGAGAGGAGAGGTGGCGTGCTGAATCGCGGGCTGAAGAGGAGAAGTTGCGTGCTGAAACGCGGGCTGAAGAGGAGAGGTGGCGTCAACTTGTAATCAGAAAGCAAGAGTCGATGCTCCGGCTGCTGGAGCATCAAAGTGATATGCTCCTGCGTATGGTTGAGCTGCAGGAAAGGCAGCAGGAGCAGAGACCGCCGCTACAGCCCCTCTGTAACCAGCAGCCATCCTCCCCAAGTCCCATTGCCTCCTCACCCAGACGCCCAAGAACACGGTGGGGGGGCCTTCGGCCACCCACTCACTCCACCCTAGATGATTTCCATAGCAATAAGTTTTAAAGTTTTAAATTGGAGTGTGTCCTTTTCCTTCCCTCCTCCCCCACCCATCCCGGGCTACCTTTCCAATTATCCCCCTAGTTGTGTGCTGAATTAATAAAGAATGCATGAATGTGAAGCAACAATGACTTTATTGCCTCTGCAAGTGGTGCTCGAAGGGGGGAGGGTAGTGGGGGAGGGTGGGGTGGTTGGTTTGCAGGGAAGTAGAGTTAACAGGGTGGTGGGGGAGGGGCAGAGGGTTCATCAAGGAGCAACAAACAGAAGTTTCACTCCGTAGCCTGGCCAGTCACAAAACTGGTTTTCAACGCTTCTCTGATGCGCACCGCGCCCTGCTGTGCTCCTCTAACCGCCCTGGTGTCTGGCTGCGCGTAATCAGCGGCCAGGCGATTTGCCTCAACCTCCCACCCCGCCATAAATGTCTCCCCCTTACTTTCACATATATTGTGGAGCGCACAGCAAGTAGCAATAACAATGGGGAGATTCTTTTCGTTAAGGTCTGAGCGAGTCAGTAAGCTGCGCCAGCGCGCTTTTAAACGGCCAAATGCACATTCCACCACCATTCGGCACTTGCTCAGCCTGTAGTTGAACAGGTCCTGACTGCTGTCCAGGCTGCCTGTGTATGGCTTCATGAGCCATGGCATTAAGGGGTAGGCTGGGTCCCCAAGGATCACGATAGGCATTTCAACATCCCCAACTGTTATTTTCTGGTCTGGGAAGAAAGTCCCTTCCTCCAGCTTTCGAAACAGAAGAGACTGCCTGAAGACGCGAGCATCATGTACTCTTCCCGGCCAGCCCACGTTGATGTCGGTGAAACGTCCCTTGTGATCCACCAGGGCTTGCAGCAGCATTGAAAAGTACCCCTTGCGGTTTATGTAGTCGGTGGCTTGGTGCGCCGGTGCCAAGATAGGGATATGGGTTCCGTCTATCGCCCCACCACAGTTTGGGAATCCCATTGCAGCAAAGCCATCCACTATGGTCTGCACGTTTCCCAGAGTCACTACCCTTGATATCACCAGGTCTCTCATTGCCCTGGCAACTTGGATCACAGCAGCCCCCACAGTAGATTTGCCCACTCCAAATTGATTCCCGACTGACCGGTAGCTGTCTGGCGTTGCAAGCTTCCACAGGGCTATCGCCACTCGCTTCTCCACTGTGAGGGCTGCTCTCATCCTGGTATTCTGGCGCTTCAGGGCAGGGGAAAGCAAGTCACAAAGTTCCATGAAAGTGCCCTTACGCATGCGAAAGTTTCGCAGCCACTGGGCATCGTCCCAGACCTGCAACACGATGCGGTCCCACCACTCTGTGCTTGTTTCCCGGGCCCAGAATCGGCGGTCCACGGCATGAACCTGCCCCAGTAACACCAAGATTTCCACATTGCTGGGGCCTGTGCCTTGTGAGAGGTCCATGTCAATTTCCTCATCACTATCGTCGCCGCGCTGCAATCGCCTCCTCCTCAGCTGGTCCTGGTTTGGCTTTGGCATGTCCAGGAGGCTCTGCATGTTTTCCAGGACAATGCGCGTGGTGTTCATAGTGCTCAGAATTGCCGCGGTGATCTGAGCGGGCTCCATGATCCCAGTGCTGGCTATGGCGTCTGGTCTGAAAAAAGGCGCGAAAGTAGTATCTGACGGACCAGGGGAAGAAGGGAGGGAGGGAGAGAGGGAGGGAGGGGCGAGTGACACCGCGTACAGGTACAGGGAATTAAAATCAAGAAAGGTGGCTTTGCATCAGGGAGAAACACAAACAACTGTCACACAGAATGCCCCCCCCCCAAAGATTGAACTCAAAAGCCTGGGTTTAGCAGGAGGGAGGGGGGAAGCAAATGAATGGAGAATAAATCTATTTTTTACATCTTAAGACGACGGCGCAGCATGACTGATAGCCCTTGGCATTTTCTGGGTGCTTGGCAGCAAATACTGGGCGCTTGGCAGTAAGCCTTCAGGTCTATTGCACGATCTGATGCCCACTGCAGTATGACAACGATGGATACCAGTCGTAATATACTATCTTCTGCCCAAAAGGCAAGGGGTTGCTGCTGTATAGCAATGTTGCCCCATCCTGCGAATAATACATCTGATAACCATCATCATCAAGGCAAGGGGGCTGGTGCAATGCAGCCCCACGGCTGCCAGCCCCATGTCTGCCAGCACCCAGATAGCCCTCGGCCTCTTCTGGGTGCTTAGCAGACAATATTGGGCACTTGGCAGAAAATAGCATACTACGACTGATAACCATCATTGTCTGCCCGGGTGCCCATGATCGACAGCCACTGCAGTACGATGACGACGGTTACCAGTTGTAATATACCATCTTCTACCAAAAGGCAAGGGGCTGGTGCAATGCAGCCCTACGGCTGCCAGCCCCACAGCTGCCAGCACCCAGATCGCCAATGAAGGCTACCAGTCATGCTGCACCGTCTACCGCCAAAAGGCAGTAAGCTGCTGCTGCTGTTTAGCAATGCAGTCCCACGTTTGCCGGCACCCGGAAGAGATATGGTGACGGTGAGCTGAGCTGAGCGGGCTCAATGCTTGGCGTGGTATGTTGTCTGCACAGGTAACCCAGGTAAAAAGGCGCGAATCTATTGTCTGCCGTTGCTGTGACGGCGGGGGAGGGGCCTGACGCAATGTACCCAGAACCCCTCGCGGCACTGCTTTGCATCATCCGGGCATTGCGATCTCAACCCATAATTCCAATGGGCGCCGGAGGCTCCGGGAACTGTGGGATAGGTACCATAGTGCAATGCGCCGGAAGTCGACGCTAGCCTCGGTACTGTGGACGCGGTCCGCCGACTTCATGCACTTAGAGCATTTTAGGTGGGGACACACACAATCGGCTGCATACAACCGGTTTCTATAAAACCGGCTTCTATAAATCCGACCTAATTCTGTAGTGTAGACATAGCCTGAGAGGTGTGATGTGCCCTATTCCTTGCAGTCAGGGCCCCTTGGATTCTATGATTCTGCAGCCACAGAATTTGGCATTTTCCCAAGATGGCATGGAATTTGGTCTATTGCTGAAGACAGCCACCCAAAATGTTGTGGTCTGTCTCGTTGCCCTGCTGCCTGCAGTTACCTTTTGCTCTCCATCTTTCCTAAAAGAGGAGATTAAGTGGATTATAGTGCATGCTTCCTACACTGTTCCCTGGAGCTAGGCAGCAGAGTGTATCTAAGAGCTGAAGTCCAGTTTGCAGTTCAGTGAGTGGAGAGAGCCAAAAGTATAGCTTGGTGAGCTTGACAGAGTAGAGAACAACACAGCAGCCAAGGCCTAGGGAGTCAGGTAAATGAGACACTGAAGCCGGCCACAAACCCTCCTTCTCTGACAGGGATGGAAAGAAGGTAGTTCTAAACCAGGCTGCTAAGAAAATACCATGGGAGTCAATGCCTAGGATTGGAGCTGGGCCATCTGAAAACCCTAGCAAAAAAATCCATCCTCAAAAATAATTGTAAAAAAAAATAATCAATTTTACATCAATTCATGTTTTCAATGATGAGCCACCCGTGTGTGTTTGTGGTATGACAGGGGGATTAGAATGAAAGGTATCACATACTGATAGAATACATTAATCCAGAGCCTTCGGGACTGTTTCCACAGAATTTGGTCCTTCTGTGCCGCGGAGTATACAGGGCCCTAATTATATGTCCCTTCATGAAGGTGCAAAATAACAGAAGTGCAGTTCAGATTACCTTTTTTTGATATTCACCAAGACTGCAGTTAACAGGCAACAGGCCTATAGAATGCACTGCACTTCACCCATTTCTCTGTAACTTCCTGCTTCTCTTCCACTCTCACTTAGCTTCTCCCCAGACCTAAAAAAGGTTCAGTGATACACATTCATTCAATGAAATATTTTCAATGTGCACTATTTAAGAAGACAATGGATATTTAAACAACCACCAGAAATTCCTGTCACTGCATAGAACTAGCATTTAATTCCGTTATGTGAAATAACTTTTTATATCTTTTATGTCCTGCTTCGCCCTCTTACAGATTACACATGCATTGATATTCTTTTCCTCACTATTCTGCTGTAGCTGAACATTTTTGGCTTGTGTTTCTTTAGCAGAAGAGGCAGAGTTGAAATCAAAAGGTTCTATGGCAGTTAGATTTAGGCAACCAGTGAAAAAGGCACCAACTGAAAAAAGTGTAGTGACAGCCACAAAACTCCCATAAAGGGAAGAAAGGCAGGGGATAGTCAGTGAGGAAAGGTTAATAGGAAGCTGAGCGAAAGAGGAAAGGTTAGTAGGAAACAGGGTGTGTGAGAAGTGTCAGAAAAGTGAAAGTGAGTTAAAGAGAGAAAAAGGGATGGAACAAAAAAAGAAACAAAGGCCCTAATTCAGCAAAGCATTTGAGGCAGAATTTTCAAAAGCACTCAGTACTGACCTAACTCTGCACCCATTGAAGTGAAAGAGAGAGGTCAATTCTGAGAGCTTTTGAAAATCCCACCCTTAAGCATGTGCTTAATTTTAAGCTCATAAATAATTCCACCCCTATGCTTAAGTCCCACTGAAGCCAGTGTGACTTGACCACAGGCTTAAGTGCTTTGCTGAAGCAGGATGTGATTACTTATGTGCTTAAAATTATGCACATATTTAAGAGTTTTGCTGAATCTGGTTTCATGAAAACCAGAGAAAAAGTTACTGAGAAATCAAAAAGAAACAAACTGTGAAATCCACATTAAAAAATAAATGAGTTCCTGGTTATTTCTTTATGCTCTGAGCATAAAGGTTGGATTACTGCCTGGTCTCTCTTTGGTTAAATATAAAAATAAAAACTTCTTTTTAATACAATGAATATATTGTAACACAGCAATTACCTCTGGCGAAAGATAATTAATTCAGTGAGTGATACCATTAATACTAAAGTAATTATTGACACAGGGTTGCAGCCTTAACTGTTAAGGGGACTCACAGTCCTCTACGCCTACTTGCACTTGCACTTCCAAAACAGATTGTGTAATTAGCTGGGAGAGGGTTAATCTTTCCAATATTACTATCTCTATGGTAACAGGACCACAGAGATAGAAGGAGCTGTGGAAATCATGAAAGCAGCCAAGAAGGCGGTGCTCTCCATTACTCCTCACTCTATGATACTGCTACCATAGAGAAAGAGAAGACACAGAGACACCATCTCATAAGTATACCAAAAATCATCTGGAACACTGTCAGCATGCCACGGGTTCCTTGTTATCTCTGTCCATCACCTGGAGCCTATGGACCACATTTTGCATACCACTGTTTAAAACTATTCTCTACCAACAAGACAAGGAAAAAATAACATCTTTATGTAATCATTGAATTATACTCCAAAAAATCCTGAAATTTATCACACTGCTCCTTATTTTTCAGCCTCTGGTCATCATTTTCACACCTTTCCTAATCAATTTAAAACTGTGGAGCAGTACCAAGTTTACTGCAGGAGGCGTGTTGTTCTGGAGCAATGCAAACAAATGGATGAAATATTCTGAAACATATCCAGAAAACTGAAAAAAATAGACTTTATATTAATTTGCAAAATAAATAAATAAAAACCGTAAATAAATAATATTCTTAAAATAAATGCAAAAATACAAAACCCCTACATTTAAATCTCAATATTTTACAAAGAAGATTAATGGGGAGAGTGAAGGATTAACTCTCAAATTCTATTCCTACTCTGCCTCTTTCTGATGATCTTGGGCAATTCACTTAATCTTTCTATGCTTTGTTTTACCCATCAGTAAAATAGGTATAATAAAATAATACTTTGCACTTCACAGAGATATTGTGAGACTTAATAAAAGTTGATGCATGCTGTGAGGGCCTACAGGCTGCACACCAGAAATGAGAAATTGGAGACGCAATTGAACAACCTAAATTAAGCCAGGCTTGGAGGAAACAGATTAGGTAGCAAAAAAGCAAATAAGTAAATGCTAGACAGAGTTTACGTTAGAGGTGCCCAATCCTGCATTAATTTCAGTGGCATTCCATTCAGATGCAGGGATTCACCCATACAGAATTCAAGGCTCCAGTGCTTCGAACACTTGCACTTATGTTCAACTTTATTCATGTGAGTCATTCTATTGATGAGACTACTCATGGGGAAAGTTAAGCACATGCATAAATGTCTACAGGATCAGGGCCTAAAGTTGGTATTATATCTAAAGAAGTTATTGTGTCACTGACAATTATTTTTGCAAAGCCATGGATAACTGAGGAGGTAATAAAAGACTGAGAAAAACAATTACGATATCTATTTTCAAAAAAGGAAAGAAGAATGGTCCTGGTGATTACCATTCTGTTCATCTGTGGTGCCCAAACTTTTCCTGTCATGTCCCCCCTTACCAGTAATGGAATGAGTCTGTGCTCCCCCTCCATTACTGCACAGTTGGCTCAACAGAGGAGCTTGGGCTGAAGGCAGAGCTGGGGGCAGAACTGGGGATGGGGGAGGAGCTGGGGCTAGAGGCAGAGCTGGCATGGGGATGGAGAAGGAATGAGGACAGAACTAGGCTGGAGCCAGGACTGGGCTGGGGGTGGAGTGGAGCTGTGGCTGGGCCAGAGCTGGGCAGGGGACAGAGCGGAACTGGGTTGCACTCCCTCCCTGCCCCCTGTGGGGGCTGGCCTGGGGCATGCCCCACAGTTTGGAGACCACTGCAGGGGTGCCAGAACAGGGGAGGGCCAGGAGGCCATGGCCCCATCACTTCTAAAAGTGGGAGGGCTATGCCCTCCCACTATTTACCAGCCGTGAGAGTGAGCGATGGGGAGATGGGGCGGAGAGGAGCAAGCGGTGGGCAGGGTTTTGAGGGGAAGAGGCGACACAGGAGTAGGGCCTCGGGGGAAAGGGTCGGCACAGGGGCTGGACCACTGCTATACATCTAAGTTCTATCACTGCTAAAATAAAACATCCAGTGAAAGAACTGAATAGTCATGGAGAGTAAACTACTTTCTCACTGTTAAATGTTTTCTCTTCAGTTCAGGGTTGAAGCTCATTGGCAGGGCACTGTGGAGAAGTCTGCTGTACCACTGCCCCCTGAAACTAATCTATGGATAAATATAGGGCTTCAGTTTCAACAAATGCCAAACTGGCACCTTTCAGGAGTGCTAAATTAACAACAAAAGCATTAAAACAGCAAGTGTATTGATATTTAAAAACTAGCAACATTTGGACAGGTTTATCGATATGCTACTGTGGAATCAAAGCTCAGTAACATCTCACTTCTTTACTTAGCCCCAACAAAGGAGGATGTGCTTCATTACTCTTTGGGGGCCCAGTAGCTATTTCAGGATCAATGTCAGGGGTTTAGAATGAAATACTCGGCCCTCTATGAGCTGAGGGGTGAAAACATTATCTACTATCCCAGCCTTTCTTGCCCATTATGGCTCGTACTTATCTGAAGAGAATCATGACAGTAGGAAGACTAAAAAATGAAATTGAGGGTTGGCTATTCAGAGTTCAGAGGCGAGGCATGGTAAAAATGTGCTACAATTTTTTAAACAAAATATTTGTAAGAAGGTCTACAAAACAGATGTACTTCTCAGTCCTGCAAACACTTTTTACTTGGTGTATTGCGTATTATCATGAGAACTTCCATTGATTATGTCTACACTGGTGAATTTAGGACCTTTAATTCACCAACATTGCAACACTACCAGTAAACAAGGGTAGATGTGATATAACAAAGTCTTATCTACACTACAGCCTCTATCACTGCTATCACAAGTGAAGCTGCAACTGTGATGAGTTATGGGTCCTAAATTTGCCAAGGTAAGCTGAAGACTGGATGGCTATTGTAGGAAGTAGAGGCTGGGTGGTAAGAGGACCCCTGCCAAGCCTCACGCAGTACATCCAGAACCCCCTAGCCCTCCATACCCAAACCCCACCCCACTGAACCTCAACCCCTGCATCTGGAGCCCCCCTGCACCCATACCCCCTGCCTCCGGACCCCCATCCCTGCACCCAGACCATCTCCCCACTGAGCTCCCTGCACTCAAACCCCCACCCTGATACCCCACCCCCTGCCCCACCCTGAGCCCCCACATTCAGACCCCCAACTAGCTGCACCCAGACCCCCACCCCACCAAGCCCACTCCCCCAGCACCCAGACCCCTCCGCTGAGCCCCAACCACCATCACCTGGAAGCCCCTGCAGAGTCCCATTGCCTCTGCACCTGGAACCCGCCCCCCAACGAGCCTCTGTGCATCCAGACCCCCACACACACATAGACCCCCCCCCACTGAGCTGCCTGCACCCAGATTGTCCCACACAGAATCCTCTCTCCCCACACTTGGATTCCTCCACACTTGGATCCTGCCTGGTTGAGCATGCCTTCCCCACACCTGGTATGCCTGGTGCAGTGGGGCAGAGCCCAGGGTGTTTCTAGGGCAGGCCCAGGCCTTGTGCTGTGTCAGGGTCAGGTGCAGCCTCACCACTGAGTCCATGTCCCAGGTATGCGGGGGCTGCAGGGTGATCTCCCACTTTCGTGCAGCCAATGGCCTGTGCTCCCCACTGTCATGCTGGAGCCTCTGCATTTATTTATTGACAAATAAAACTTGCATAATTTTGCAGAATTTTTAATTTTTTGGCACAGATTGACATCAAGAGTAGATGAGATAGAGAGACAAGCTGGGCAAGGCAGGACTCAAATTGGGCAGCGGGGAATCCCCCAAGCTCCACCCACAACCCAAGTTCTGCCCATTTGGGATACCAAAATGAGATGCCACTCACAATACATTGTGCAGGTGTTCAAATCTGATCATACGTGTTCTGCTGGGCTCCTCAGGCTTGGCACCCCTTAGTGGGATTTGGATACACCCACTGGATTATTAAGATGCAGGAACTATAGACAAGTGTCTAAGGCCCTGGCTCTAAGTATTACGTGATAATGACAGAATCTCAATGTTCATTACAGACAAAAGTGTCTAACCTTCATGGTTGTGAAAAAAATCTTAAAAACATGAACCAAGGGTAATTGATGCAATAATGTGCATCTGAGTCTGCAGACAGCATCCAGCAAAGGTAACCATTATAGCCAGAGAGGAAGCTGCTTGGCCTGACATTCATCACCGATAGCAGACCAAGCCCCTGCTGATCTGGGGGGACCTGGCCTGCTCAAGGTAAGGATTTGGGGATTGGCTGTCCCTTGGCAGCTCAGAGACCCCCCTAGGCTCTGTTCTTCCCTTTAACTTCACTGGTCAAATTGAGGCGAGGAGAGTGGTGATACTCTCCCAAATGACTCCCAATTGTGACACCAGAATGGACATCACTCACTGTAAATTGCATACATCTTCATAATATGATCATCCCTTTCCTTTCTTATATGCTGTGATCAGCAGTTAAGTAGTTAACAATTTTGATATTTAAATAATTGTAATTGTACAATATTTGACTCGATACCCCATTGAGATCAATGGAAGTAGTTAAGAAATCAAGACATCTTCCACTGGTTTCTATTTGTGCAGATCTGTTCATTTATAAGTAATAATGAGAATAACTTTTTTTAAATGTAAGTTTCACTAGTTAGCTTAGATTTGAGATCTAGTGAGATACTAGTGAATGACTGTATTTCTAAGTGTCTTGGAGATCTAAATGCTTGTTAGAGAGAGCCAAAAAAAGCCAAAGAGAGCAAAATTTCAGGAAGTGTTTATTTTTTTAAAGTTTCAAATGGAAGTTTCTGCCTTTATATGAAATAATTTAAAAAATTAAAGTAGGATGTTAGTCTATGGCCCTGATCTTGCAAAACCTTATATAGAAAGTATATGATTATTAAAGTCAATGGGACTCCTCACAGTGAATAAAGTTAGCTATGTGCCTAAAATCTTTACAGGATAGGGGCCTAAGCATGTTAAGTAAGGAGTGTAAATCTGACGGAAATGATTAGACATTAGGGGATACAAAATCTCACTTTAGCTACAATCTTGGTGAAACCTTAACTATGAAGTTATGATTGACAACACCATAATTCACACTACAGACCAGAGCAATTACAACCTGTTGTGTAGGCTGTCAGATCTCCATGGTACACCTTTTCCTTATATACTGTTTTTGCATTATAGTTTAAAAATGGTTATTAATAGAAAAATGATGTCTAGAATGTTTTGACTATGAATCATTGTGTATAAACTAAACACATACAAATGGTATAGACAGTACTATAGTTTTTCTTTCACTGCTTTCATTGAAACTGAAATTTTTGATACTTTATCAGTTCAAAGGTCATTTTTTTTGAAAGTTTGATTTTCACTAATCTTTTAGTAAATTAAGGGTGAAAATATATATGTATCTTTACTGCTATAAAGTGATTAATTATTTATTTTTGAACACAATTTAAAATAGCTAAACTTTACAAGTTGAAGTTTTTCAGGTGGCTAGTGCTTATTGTGAACTTGTTTCAAAGATAATTAGAGGGAAAGGATATAAAAATTTAAAAATCACTTTTGCAATGTACTATATAACATTTCCACTAAGTTTGAAGGACAATGTAATAAATTAAACACAGAATATCAATGTATGCAATGTTGTTGTAGTCATGTTGGTCCCAGGATATCAGAGAGACAACATAGGTGAGGTAGTAATATCTTTTATTGGGCCAACTTCTGTTGGTGAAAGAGACAAGCTTTCGAGCTTACACAGAGCTCTTCTTCAGGTCTCTCTACATAATGGCAATGTTAGTTATGTGATTATTTGTGTTATTTTTGCACTGCCATTTCACTGTGAAGTTCCAGAACTGCATAGTTTTGACCACACAGATCTAGAAGTGTGCAGTGAAATCAGTAGAAATATTAGGCCCTCAGCTTACAAACCTTTATACCTGTGAATAGTTTTGCTGAGCTTAATGGACTCACTCACATACATGAAGGCAAAATTTTTCAAAGATTATAAAAGTCAATGGGAGTACGGCACCTAACTCCCATTTGTGCCTTTGAAAATCTGCCCCAAAGTTAGGTATGTAAACAAGTGTTTGCAGGATCAGGGCCTTGCTTATTTAATCTTTTTTCTTAAGAAAAGAAGTTACATAAAATATCTTACAATACTTTTCCATTAAGGTTATAATTTTAGGCCCGGCCCCTGACCCTGCAAGCTACTCTGCACTAGTGCAGTGGATGGGTTCTGTGCAGGCACAGGGGTCCCTCACAGGAGAGGGTCCTTAAGCAGTTAAAAGCCAAGTGTAGTCTAGTAGTCTGAACAGGGGACTAAAAGTCAAGCAGGCCTGACTTCTTAACCTTCCTCCACAGCCCTGAGCAAGTCACAACCTACATCTCAGTTTCCCCATCTGTAAAATGGGGATAGTGATACACCAAACTAGCAGGTGGGATACCATGTTTAGTCAATGTTTATGAAGTGGCTCAATGATGAAAGAGTCTATATACATTGCTAAGCCTTGTTAAATGCCAAAGCTAACACTTTCAAAGGAAATCTTAATTTGCCTACATTGAAGGTAGGCAGTCTGTCCAGTGGCTAGTTATACACTCTGGGCCCAACGGTGCCCTCAGACGGGCCCACACAGCTGCAGTCCACTTCAGGCAGCGCTGCCTAGCTGTGTCTGAGGGCAGAATTGGGCCAAATACAGCGCTGATGTAAACTGACTTGTGGGAGCTGCTGCGGCCAAGGCAGAATCGGGCCCCACAGGCTACAGCTGTGCCATGGGGGCGAGTTACTCTGAGCGCCTCAAACTTCTGCGTGGCCTGGCTCGGGGGGGGGGGGTCGGGCTGTAACGCGAGCGCTGCACTGGCAATGGGCTTGGGGATGGACTGGTTTATTATCGGGTGCGCTTAACTTTCTCGATGTTGCTCCCCCCCCTCCTCTCTCTGAGTCTCCCTCCCCCGCCCCCCTCTCACCCCCCCCTTTACCTTGACAAGTCCATGGGGCTGATGGTGAATGACTGTCTCTCTCCCCAGGGTCTGGGGCTCTGGGTGACATTCCCCCCTCCCCCCCATGAGTGGCGGTTGGGTTGCTAGTGCGGGAGCGCGCGCTAGCGGGGAGGGGGTGGAGCGCGCGCCAGCGGGGAGGGGGAGGGGTGCTATTGACAGCAGCGCCGGGTCCGTAGCGCTGCCTCAGCGCAAGCGGCTCTCCCCCTCGCTCCCCCCCCCATTCCCGGCATGCCCCGGGGCAGCGGGGCTGGCTCTAACGAATTTGAATGAAGAGTCCTGCGCTTTCGGCGCCATTTTCGAGTGATGCCCGATCGCATCGCTGCCGCGGGGGAGCCGGAGCTGGCGGGGCCGCTGGGCTGGGCGCAGACCGCCGCCAAAAATACCCGCGGCCCGAGGAGGCGCCTGCACAGGCGGTAAGAGCCGGAGGGAGCGGCCGCGGGGGGAGGGTGTTGTCCGGTTAACGGTGTCGACCCGTGTCCCGCCTCCGGGAAAAATCCACCCGAAACCCTGTCGGGGAGCGAGCGGTGGGGATCCCGGCCCCGAAGGCAGCAGTGGGGTGAGCAGGGCGGCGGTAGCGGCGGCACCTCAGCGTATCTGTCACTGTCAGTCTCCAGCCTGGGAGGATCGGGGCCCGGAGCGCCCGCCTCTCTCAGGTAACCCCCGCCCCAGGGCGGCTGAAGGGAGCATCTCCCGGGCAGAGACCCTGTCTGCGATAGCGCTTGTGCCCCCCTCCCTCCGCCTTCGGAGCGGCTCAGCCCCAAGCAGAGATGGGCAGGGAAGTTAGAGGCAGGTTGGGGACCCGGAGCACCCCGAGCGGAGGGCGCCTTCCCAGCCCCCTGTGGGCGCCCCTCTGCCGTGACGTGACGTGACAGGCTGTGTTCCCCGTGGCCGTGAGCATTGCGGGGCAGACCGGAGAGTGCTCGGGATACAGCGATTGCTGGTTCCACTGTTCTGCAGCAGCCAGCAGGGCTCCCCTCTCTCAGCCTCCCGCCCCCCAGGGTTTGTAACCCGGATTAGGGCCCCCCGAATAGCCCCTCCTCCCCCCCCCCCCCCGTCTCCTTTCGATGAAGGCAGGTTGACTCCTCTGTCTCGGAGCTCTCTCAGCCTCGCACTTTTTAAGATCGTAATTTCCCGTGTCACGATCTCGAAGCCGCCTTTAGCAGAGCCCTGGGTGACGGTTGTGCTGCCGCACGCTATCGCATTTATCATCCCCGTCCCTTTGGCTAATAACGAAGGACCAACGCGCTTTTAGTCGTATATTACCCAGTGTTTTTAACATTAACACGCGAGTTTCCTTCCCTAGCTCAAAGAGAAAACGTAATTTGGGGCCGTTTGAATTGTACCAGTTATTTGTAGGTGCTTTTCGCCTTCTCTTCCTCCATCCCCGCAAAATGAGTAAATATCGTTCCCATAGGCAGCGTAGCCTAATACTGTGATTAGAAGTGGCCATTCACCATCTCTTCTCCGCCTACTAAATTCTCCGTCTCTGTCACCCGGGTCGCTATTTGTCATTGGCTTAGCTATTTTTTTGGTGGCTGTTTCTATGTCAGTTCTCGGTGGGCAGCGGTTCTCGGTCTCCCCTAGGTTATGAGTATTTGTGCTTATGGTGATATGTAATGGGCTCACTCTCGCAGTGTATGTGATGAGCGATTACCCCGTTGCATACACATAATATGTGACACTGTGCCTTTTCCTCCACGACGCTATTTAACCCTCTCGGGACTGGATTTGGCGTGGGCGCTCACGCTTCATAGTTGCGCAGACACAAGAAAGACATCTTTTTGTTGCAGCAGTTACTTGGTGGGAGTAGGGGGGGGATAATAATGTACAGGGGGCAGATAAGCTAACGTACAGCACTGCAGATTCAGAAACAGGCAGACCATCTGGCTCCTTCCCAGATACAATTTCTAGCGCTACTTTTATTCCTCTGCCTACTTCCCTATTCGCTTTCGGCCGCCAGAACCTTTCTCAGATGCAGAAAGACGTATGAATATTTCCCCGAATCCTGCTAGATCTCAAGGCACTAGTCTACTTTCCTTGAGCACCGAGAACCCCCGTTCAATTCCTGGGAGCGTTGGGTGCGCAGTGAATTCAGGATCGGGCCCTCATTTATGTGCCACTTCAGAAAATACTGGACCGAGTATTTGGTCCCCCTGATTGGCTGCATGAACGCATTACTGGGGCTTGAAGGTTGGACTGGGTCATAGGATTTCTCCGCTTCTCTCGCTCTGCACCCCCCCAACCCCCCGCGCGCGCATCTATCCACTCTGGTTAATGCCAAGAGTATGTGCTTTTTACTTAGCACCCTCTGCACCGAAAATAATGAGTTAATAGAGTAACGTAGGAGGAGGGACGTACAGAAGAGTTGGGGTGCAGAAGTGCTGTACAAAGGATTTCTATGTACATGGCTGAAGGCTTGTAGCCTTAAAGTGAAATACAAAACTTAGCATGTTAGCTGGATTCAAGGTATTTTCTGTGTAAGGCAGAAATACAATAGTTTAAGAACACATTCTTATTGTGAACCCTGGGGTTTTCTCAGTTTTTAAATCCAGTATACAAATCAGACTATTCAGTCTATCTATTCAGCTACAGTTACTCTTAGTTTGTCTCTAGTTTATCATTAAATCCTCATAGCTAGAAATTTAAGTTTAATCTGTTAAATTGTGATGCTAATAATACCTTATGATATTTTATCATTTATTTCTTTGGAGGTACATGATTACTACTTAACTGTTTTAAGAAACATTTTTAATACTTTATGCGGCAATGTGCACAAAACTGTTTCTTTGTAGCTGAGTGTATACTTTTTAAAATATCAGTATTTGAACAGATTTACACTACTCAGCAATGGAAGTAAACTTATAAACACTGACTTTCACTTTCAAGGAAATAACTGTCCTGACTCATAGTTAATTTATAAAACAGAACAGGTAAGTATTGTACAGGTGCGTATGCTTTATTTCATTCTCTGACATTCAAGTACATAGCATACATATGCTTTGTTATAGTCTTCTATAATTAAAATATTTGTACTTATTAGATATTTAACTACATCAAACAGTGTTTTCTTTTTAGCTCCATTTTTATTTCAGAACTTTACTATTTCCATTTTTTATAATGATATAAAAGTGGGTGTGGCTAAAAAGAAAGCAGCAAGCAATCTGATATCATTATACAGTGCGCATTTATGTAATTTATATAGGTTTCCTGATACTTGATTTACTCATTTAATGTATTTGAGAAATTCACTTAGTTTAAATTGAACCTCATAGGACTGCTTGCATTTTTCACCTTAGTTAAAATGTCAAACATTAACTGAGGTTTACTTGGCCTTAGAAAAGATTAATTTTGATATTTCCTCTAAATATATTTGTAGCTCTAATAAACATGTATTTACACTAGACCCATAAATGAAAGTTATAATTATGCATTTGTGATCAGATTATTGCTTATAATTTTGTCATGAAACATAATCAGTATCCTCTTCATAAATTTGTTTCTATTAAGCCTGTTCAGTTATTTTGGCTCTCAGAAAAACTTTTCAAATATGCTACAGTTGTCCTGTTAAAAGCTAAAGTTGCACTGAAACTTCCCAAGAGTTACAGGGTGTTTTTGTTTGTTTGTTTTTTGCAAGTGTAAATGTACTGGAGATTGAAGAAACTTTTTTTAATAAATAAAAAGGACTATTTCCTAGTAATTTGGAATTACGTGGGTAGCTTTTACTGATATTTTTGTATTGTTTTGGAAATCTATTGTAGCAACATTTTAAGATAGAATATTTTAGTTAGCTAGATATTAAAGTTAGAATATACCATCTGTCCTCTTTGGGGTTTTTTTTTTTTTTTTTAAGCTTAATAGAATCGAGACTTCTTACTGTTCCATGTGAAATACAAAGCTATAGAGGAAAACTTATTTCTAAACTTAATAGTTTTAATTTCCTTAAGTTAATTGTTACTTTCTGTATTAGGATACATTAGAATTTGTAGTTATATATTGCTTGAACTGCATACATGCTACCTGCCTATAGGTACACTCCTCAGGGAAAATTTATGTTACCCATATTGGATGTCATAAGGCTGTTCTAACAGGTGTATCAAAAAAAAAATCTGGAGTGTTTTGTGTATATATATAGATATATATATCTATATATATATACACACGCTTCCTATTTTTATGTACAGAATAGTAATGTAACGGTCTGTTTTTGTAACAACTTACTATTTTTTAATATTTGAGATAGGAAATATTAAACTATATTTAAAAGGAACTGGGAAACTTAAAATTATAGTTTCTGCATATGCTGGAGGTATTTGCTTTCTTAGATACAGGGGGATTTTCCAAAGCCAATTACTAATCATTTCAGTAATTACATTCATTACTCATTTCATCACAAATTGTCAAAGGTAGAGCATCTTAGACTTTTTTGGCTATCTGTGGAAGCTATAGGGAATAAAATTCAGGCTTTTCTGTCCAATTGAAATGAATATTTGATAGTAAAATTTTTAAAAAACAGAAAATCGCTTTTTTTAAGGTATATACATATATTTTGGATATATTCGCTATGCATCTATTTGCAAGTTCTAAATAGCTAATAATAATAATCTTGCGCTAGAACCAGTGGTCAGAAAAAAATACTACCTTTCCTATTAATAATATTAATTTTTTGTTTGGACCAAGCTGTACAAAATCACTTTATTTTTATACGTAGTATATTACATTTCTTTGACTCTTTACACACTACTTTAGTTTAGAAGTAAGTTATTTAATTTTTGACTCAGCTAGTAATGCATTTTTAAGATAGAAATAATAGTAAGTATCTACAAATATTGAGGGAAAGGTGAGACAAATAACAGGGATATGAAAGTTGTCTAAATTTAAACCTAAATGAAAAAGTCAGTTTGCAGTTTTATTTATTTTGTGAATTATTGGCACTTGCTCTATAGAATTGCTGAGTAGTCACTGTCTTAGTACTTATCAAACTTGAACTTCTTTTCTTTTTAACTCTATATTATCATGAAAATATTTTCATAATTTTGTGTGGTACACTATATTTCTGAAATGGTAAGAATTGGCTTAGTTTAAACCTTCTGTCTTTGTTTAATATAACTTAAATCAATGCCTGTATTGATTTGTTTAACCCTTTATTGTAATTTTTTTTTTTTTAAGTCTAATTCTGCTAAAAGAAGCATTTGGGTAGGTCTATACCTTAGAGATTTAATGAGTCTATAATTCTGAGAAAAAATTTAGTTCTCAACTTCATTTATTTTTGTATGACAACTTCCATCAGTCTTGCATGAAGATTGGAGGTGAATAATGTAACTTCACTTCTAATTCAGTTATGTTGTAACTTTGACTATTTTTAATTGACTAATATTTCTGTCTAATTGGAGTTCACTGTAGTTGTACCTTTAAAAGCTAGTTTCTACTTGTGGAAAGTAATAATAGACTTCAAAATCTTTCTTTAATTCTGAACAGTTTTTAAAATTTTAGCAGTTCAGAATAACTAGAGTACAAGTATGTCCCCATTTATTATTGTGTATACACACAAATGGTGTATAAATACAAATATATAGCTTTTACTAAATACTAAAGCATTTCCAAAGAAGACTTATTCAAAATCAAGATATAATCTCCATTTTTACTTGAAACTGAAAAAAATAGCAATGACTCTCTGTGGTCTTTATTAATGTCTAAAGGAAACCACTACTGAAAGTGGCAAAAATATATATATTTTTAGCTATTTAGTTTCTAAAGGCTGGTAAGTGTACCCATTGTAAATATAGATTATTATTAACTTTGAGAATTGAGTCAAAAATCCACTAATTTGTTTATCTAGTAAGAAATGTCCAATTGGATTAACATTTGGACTTAGAAAAATATCTTGATCGTGATTTTAAATTTCTTTTGTGATAATAGGAATATGTTTAGCTTCAGACTTAACATTTAATATAGTAAACGATTATATTACTATAATTTTTTTTAGAAAAAAAATCAACAAAAGAAATATTTTTTTGGCTGGATATTTTTTCCAAATTATTTGTGCTTAAAAGGGTGGGAGTAGTGAAGATGTATTGGGGAAGAGGAATAAAGGTAAAGAAAAATGCATTTTTACAATAAAAGCAAGTTAACCTTATTCAAAATACTATCATTGTCTTTAATAAAACTTGAAAATACAGTTAAGGAGTAAAGAGCAAATATATTGAAAATATTTGTAAACAGGTGACCAGATCTAATCATCTGCTGCTTATTTATTAGACATAGTTAGGATGTTTCTTGTCATAGCACCTACAGTACAAAAGCTAAATAAATCTGAGCATTTGGCTATATTAATTCACTGTTTTTTCCTGTAAATATTTGAAGTGACCATCTTTATCAGGTTTTTGCCTTGTTTTTATCCAATAAATTCCATGGTCACATTTCCCCCTCTCCTCCCCTTTAAAATGTGTGTGACTGCAATACTATACAATTCCATTAGATGCTATAGAGTAATTTATTGTGTTTATACAATTCCTCCTTGTTAAAAATGTTGATTGTACTGCTGATGTCTTGAAAAAAGTGGGCTAAAAACTGTTTTAAAGAAAGCACTACATGCTAAACACTTCTTGATAAAAGTCAGTAGCGGATTTCAGGAAGTATCACAGCGCACATGTTAATTGTTAAATGTTTATAGTTAACTGTTTAATTCTTTTTCTCCCCTCCCACTCTTTCTCCCCCTTACTTCCCACAAGAATACATTATAGGGAGAATGAAAGCAGAAACATACTAATCTGATTTGTTTCAGGAGGCTACTGATAATAAAGAAGCATATCACAGGTGTTTCTAATCAAGTCAGTTTGGGTTTTTTTGTGTGTGTGTGTTTTTAAAATTAGGGTTTTCCTTAACATAGACAAAGTGAGGGTCAACTTGATGACCTACATCTATGTTTGGGGATCAACCATGAAACTGTGGGTGTCAGAAATATGTTATAATACATGACATTTTTATTGCAGGTTTTGACCTTTCAATAGAGAGCTGATTCTGGAGAACAACTTACTTCTGTGATTGAAAAATTCTCTCTGGGAAGCTGATGGAGCATGAGAATGGTATATATCATATTAACATTTCACATATTTCAGATGCTCTTTATTTTTAAAAATGCATGTAGTAATAGGACTTCTTTGGTTTATGCATAGTGAAACTGTTTTATACTGGATTAAAGATTTTCTGTTTGCTGAAGTTATTCTTCTTCACATTCGCTCTGTTAAGTTTTAAGACTAAATAAAAAAACAGTCTCCATTTCCCTCTGAAGACAGTCAGTGTGTTAAGTGGCCAAAATATGTACAAAAAGCTGAGCTTGCAACTGTCTTGCTTATTGGAGTTACATAAATTCTCCATATAGTGTTGTTCTCATATTCTTGTATTGGGAATTACTACTGGTAATGCAAAATAATAATAGTAATGGATGATACAATAGTTATTTTTAAGTAATTTTATTCTGTTGTCAATAGTGTGTGTGAAAGAAGAATGGAGAACTAGCTGAGTGCATTTAAATGTACTGTACAAAATTATTTTTTAAAGTTATTAATAACTAGCCACTTCACAATTAAAGCAATATAAAATTTGCAAAATTTGTTTTCAAACCCCACCTATATAAAGAGTTATCAGAAATTTTCATTTATCTTGGAGCCTATCAATAAATATTTAAGTATTATACAGTAAAACAATGAATTATTTAACAATAATAAACATAGAATATACAGTACTCATCTTGCAAGTCTTGCTTTGCACTTAGTGGTAATTTGGTTGAAACTGAGAAATCCACTCAAAATAATCAAGAACTCTCTACTTGTATATGAATAATCTCAGCTAACCATTAAAATAAACAACTGAAATTTAAAAAGTAATTGCACTAAGATCAAACAAATTTATGTTTAAACACTAAACAGAGCACTAGAAATTTAAAGACTTTATCTCTGTCATAAAATGCATTGTGGCAAAAACTAATTTTATGAACATATTGTGTGTGACATTAGCAATTTGAGTATTCAGCTGGTATAGAGCTTTTAGCCTTAATCAAATCTTACTGCCTTTTAAAATGTATATATCTTTGCAGAAAATAATTGTACTAAAATGTAAGATATAAACTTTTCTTTTAAAAGCTGCAATAAGCCCATACAATTGCTGACTGTACCTGAAAAAGTTCCAGCAAATCCATAGATGTGTAAAATGTATCTAGCCTTAATTCGGTAGCTAATTTCAAATCTGGTTGAAGGATTGCAAGTGGTCAGCAATAATACACCTTTTATTGTAACAATATTTTAGAAAATATTTTTTTCTTAAAGAATGTGTGGAAAATATTTGATATAGTATGACCATTTTGTAGGTACTGAAAGCCTTCTACATAAAATTAACATCTGAAAACCAAAACCTTGAATACACACAAAATATAAAATGTAAATAAATTTGGACTAGAGCATAACTTTATATTTTGATAAACCCACCACCTTGTTTATTTTATTGTAAATAGGTAGTGAATTTTTTTAAATCTCTATTAAAATAAAACAAACCCCCCAAAATTACTATTTTATTGGGATTATTATTAATACTCCTGTTTGGGATACTTTGCATAACATGCAAAGTTTTTAAACTTTAGAAGCTGTTCAGAACCTCTGTACTTGATTCAGTGGGTACTGTTCAGTTATGAATAATCTGAGTTTCCAGTTCTCTAAGAATATAAGGACTTTGCATTCATTTTAATAATTTTGTTTGCGCTCATATTTTTCTGTGCAAAAGCTATTACAATCCTGTTAATGAAAATCAGAATGATATCGGTAGGCAAATCTATCTAAAATTCCCTTGTTACAAATTTAAAAGGTGAAAATTTGATAAGGTATTCCTCAGTCTGACTAACGTTGAGGGTATTTCTAATGTAATATTTTGAAGGAAAATATGCTGTCTAGATTTTAACCATGAATCTAAAGTATTATTGTAAATTTAGGGCCTAATACTGCAAACTCTTAGACACACAAATAGTGCTAAAGACTGCCATGAGTAAAAATTTGCAGGATCATGGCCTTAATAGTTGCAATCCTTTGTTTTTTAATATTTGTTCAAAATACTTGATTTCCTTAAATGGATAGTTTTGAAATATAGTAATATTTTGGGGGAGTTGCCTCAAAATGAGGAATTAAAATATGTACCAACACACTTACTCAGAAGACTTACTAACTTACAAGCTCAAATATCACACAGGACTGCTACTTTAAATAAAGTTGTCAATTTTCATTATAAAATCCACTTTTCAGCTCTTGATTTGTTCTAGAAATTTTCCATACTGAAACTTGGTCTATATAATTCACAGCCCAAAAGAGAGTATAGTGACTGTCTAGAGGGATGTAAGGTGTGTTTTTTCTCACACTTAAGTTTGACTGCTGCAATCCTTACTTAGGCAAAACTCCTGTTGACTACAATTGGGAGTTTTGCCTGAATAAGGACTGCAATGAGGGGCCCTTCAAAAGAATTGGTGTGGGCATTTAAACATAACTTTTTGAATTAGTCTTAATTATCTAATAGTAATTGAAGGTGAAAGGGATAAAAATGTACAAGATTTACTTTTTTACAAACCTACATATGTGTAACATTTTGTGACCATTTTTATTATTCCTACTCTAGGTGTGTACACAAAACTATACAGACATGTTGGCTAAATAATAGTTTTGAGAGCTGACAACACATGCTCATATAATAGATCATAACTCTCTAAAAGAGCTGTTGCAGATTACTGTGTCAATTTACCTATGCGTTCTTTATAGTCTTCTCTTGCTTTTCTAAGTCAATTGAAATGGATAGCTGCATATCTACTTCATGAAAATTATTTAACTTGTGCCTAGTTATTACAACACATGTAAAATCACCCATTGTTTGAAAACTCTGATATCTTAGGCAAGGCAGTTTAAAATTTTGGAATCCTTCATAACTGCATTTCCTGGCTTTTGTTGATTTAAACTAAATCCAGCCTTAACATACAAAAGCCTACATTAAAATGTTATCAGATTTAAATAAGCATTTCACTTTTATTCTGCCAGTCATTTAGTAAGACATCTGTGTAATAAGGATTTGAGACTGGTCCACTTAATTTTTCCTTGCCTGTGAATAAACATTGTTTTCATGAGACTTAATTTTTAAGAAGCAACAAACTACATGCAGATCATCTTTAGCAATAATAATTAAAACTAATTGATATTTAAATATCTGTTCTTTTACCCAAAAACATATGTCTAGATGTGGATGGGGGGATTACCTCATCTTGATTTTTTTTTTTTTTTTTTTTTTTTTTTTTTTTAACAAAAAGTTTGGTCGAAGTGCCTCCAAATCAATAAATTAAAACTGCATTTGAGGTTTTCTATAATCAGAGTTCACTTACTTAACTGTTCACTGTACTGCACTAATATTTTTTTAATCTACCTTGTTTTGAATTGGCTATCTTGTCAAGTGTTCAGATAATAATTTGGAGGGGAAGCAGTATGTTCGGAGATGTGGTTGCTGATTGACTGGTCTATTTAATGTCTGAGTAATCCTCTATTACCAAACATGCTAATTTCTGAGTTTATTTGAAATAATAGTTGGGTATTCACTGCAAGCATTTTCTGAAGTGAAAAATCTGAATAACTTACATATTCTCTGGGGGGAACCCCAGTCTGGTGTATTTCTCTAATGTTTTTATGGCAATATTTAATGAGAAAATTATTTCACAACTAAAGTATTGTAGGAGGGGAATGTCTTATTCTGTCAGGTACACTATTTTTAAAAAATAAGAAACTCAGCTTTTCTGTGAAATGCAATTGAACATTTAGTCATATGTAAAAATATTTACACCATTGCATTAATATCTTAACCTTTGAGTTTGCCCTTATTTCTTTATGGTAGTAAATGCTTTGTTTTAAAATCTTCAAAACAAAGTCTTATTACTTCAGCCTGCCACTCACACCAACCCCTCTTTTGTATTAAAGATGGTTTTGCTTAGGGGGAAACGACTGGGTCTAAATAGTGACAATTAACATTAATTTAAAGAGATTTTCTGTGAAAATAGTGTTATAATCAGCATTTTATGGTCTTTGCAGCTTTATTTAATTGGCTTTATTTTCTATTTTAAAAAATGCATAGAGTTTGCATTTAATACTTCATAATATATCTAAAATGGGTTAAATTATCCCCTTTGTGGGGGAAATTTGCAGTAGGACTGGGAAATCCTAGGTTATGACTTGGAACTTGTGCTGGTAACCTCCTGGGGCAAAGTTGACCCTTGGTAGATTGGGCTGGGGGTGTGATCTCCAGGCTGTTAGCACAGAGAGAGTAGCACAGCACTCCCAAGCACCCATAAATGTAAGCTACCCAAAACATCTGCCAGGAGTGGGGGATTAGAAGGAGGCCTGCTGTCCCTCATGGCACCATTTCTTCCTGATAGTAAGCCTCACCTGTAATTGGCTCAAAACACACATGTAGAGAATTCACATCGTAAAAGAGGATTCTTTGCAACATAATGTTTACCCTGTTAGCATTACCATGCGGGCAGGGGACTGGACTCGATGACCTCTCGAGGTCCCTTCCAGTCCTAGAATCTATGAATCTATGAATCTTGTACAGGCAAAACCCTGGTGAACAGAAAGGTTCTCTTTTTCATGCCTCCAAACATGCAGAGGGTCTTCTGCTGGCTTCGAAGAAGGGAGAATGATGCTTCTCCACCATCTCCTATTTTTCACCAGTATCTGTGCAGATCCTCTCCATGAGCCTACCCTAACATGTTTTGGCCCAAAGGTGGGAAGAATATTAATTAGGAGACATCATCTTGGGTCACACAGCTGCTTTTTAAACAAAGGGCCACTTTCTGATCTTCATTATGTATGCATATATCTCAATTTAATGTGGATTGTATGCAAAGATTATTAAATATATGTTGTCCCTACTTCAATTAGTAAAACTGTAGATTTGATTTAAAAATGGAATTTAAATCTTTGCTCACTTCAGTAGTGCATACAAATATAATTTGAAATATGACCACAGGGAAATGCCTATTCTTTCTCAATATCATAGTAAGGTTTAAAAT